TAGAGTAGGCAAAGGTATAGAGATCAAAGTTTAACAGTGGTTACCAGGGGCCGGAGGGAAGGGGAAAAAGGGGGATTTGTGTTTAGCTAGCATTGAGTTTCTGTTTATGGGGATGGCATATATGGCAATGGATGCTGGTGATGGTTGTACAACATGATTGATGTAATTAGTTTCATTGAATTATTGTTGTTAGGTGTTGTTGAGTAGGTTCCAACTCATAGGGACCCTGTGTACAACAAAATGAAGTGCTCCCGGTCCTGCACTATCCTCACAATCATTGCTATGTTTGAGCTCATTGTTGCAGCCACTGTGTCAATTCATCTCGTTTAGGGTCTTCCTCTTTTTTCGCTGACCCTCTACTTTACCAAGCGTGATGTCTTTCTCCAGGGACTGGTCCCTCCTGCTAACGTGTCCAAAATAAGTCTTGCCATCCTCATCAAATTGTACAAGTGAAAAGTGTTAAATTGGCAAATATTGTGTTACCTGTATTAAAAAATAACAAACAGCATATAACTAAAAAAAAAAAGAACAAGTCACAGGTCCTTCCTACACTCAAGGAAAGGAGATTACACAAGGGCATGAACACCAGGAGGTGGGTCTCATTGAGAGAGTGCCTTTGGCTCACCCCACTCTGATAAGTTTTTGACCATCCTAATCCCTTTGACTCAACTCATTCTTCTATCCATGGTGTTGATAACAATTAGAATTTTAGTTCTGAGTTGTTACATATATGCTCACCCTTTTTCTTTCTTTCATTCAAGATTATTATGAAAAACAAACTTTTACCAAATCAGTTAATCATGACTATCCTTTTTAAAATTTTTTATTTTATTGGGTATTTTTACAACATCCTCCAGAATTCTTCTCTCCTATTATCTGAGTTCCAAGGATATTTCCTAATTCAAACTTTGTGAGGCATGCCTTAGAATTTGTATATCTGGGATTTTTTAATTACACCTTCTTATGGATTGAATTGTGTCCCTCTCCCCACCAAATGTATGTTGAAGTCCTAATCCCTGTACCTGTGAATGTGATCCTGTTTGGAAACAGGGTTTTTTTTGTTATGTTAATATGGTCATACTGAGTAGGATGGGTCCTAAACCTAATTTCTTCTGAGTGGTGTCTTATAAAGGGGAATACAGACACAGAGACACATGGGGGAGTTGCCATGTGAAGATAGCGGCTGATGAATCTACAAGCCCAGGAACATCAAGGATTGCCAGTAGCTACTGCAAATTGATAGGGACAAAGAAGGACCTTTCTCTAAAGATGATGCCCTGAATTCAGACTCTTAAATCAGTGGTGGTGATGGGAGGAGGGGGAGCTTCATGGCAAACAGCAGAAAGTGAGGTAGAGCTAGGAGATGGTTTCTGTGTACAGGTTTCTGTGCACAGGAGATCGTGTACAGGTTTCTGTTTACATCACTGCTTTCAAGTCCCTGGGTCATATGGGAACTCTATTTTTAACTTTCTGAGGAACCACCAAACTATTTTCTACTTCTGCAAACCTCTACTTCCTCCTTCTCCCTTTTGGACACACCAAAGGGATAGGAAAGGGAAAACTCTGTAGTCTAAAGTCCAGAGGAGAAAGGATTAGGGCTGGGATCCTGGACTCCTAGGTTTCCGTGTGATACTATGAGACATAACTGGGATGAGAAGCTGAGTTGAATGAATCTCTCAGGGACTGAGGATTGTTGGTATTGTTGATAAGTGACTCCTCCCACATGAATGGGTTCTGGGTCTGAGGGTGGTGGTCTGGGGGCCTGGATTCTTGGATCTGGGGAGGGGGTCAGACTCCTAGGTCTGAGGGAGGAGGGGGTCAGCCTCCTGGGTCTGAGGGAGTAGTTGGGTCAGATTCCTGGGTCTAAGGGAGGAGGAGGTTGGACTTCTGGGCCTGAGGGAGGAGGGGCTGGGAGCTGGGACTCTTGGGTCCTGAAGAGAAGTCTGTGGCCTGAATTCCTGGATATGAGTGATGAGGGGTCAGATGTTTTCATTCATGGCTTCTGAGGGAAAAAGATGCTGATGGACAGGACTCTTGGATATGTGATGATTTAGGGATTTGTTTTATCCAGACAATTCTATTAATTTGAAGACTTTGCTTGCAAGCAGGTGAACCAAGACTCAAGCCCATTTCTCCTGAAGAAACAGAGGAGACTGGGCCCTCATCCCTGTTTTCTCTACCTATAGGCACTCCCTCTTCACTTACTACCTCCACCCTCCTCAGTTTTCTAGTGTGTCCCATCCTATTTCCTCCCATGTAACAGGTGTCAAAAATAGAACCAATGAAATGAATTACCCATCCTTAGTTACCTTGTTAACCTGGGCTCCTGAGTCTCTGAGACACCTTCCTGTCACCTTTATCCCGAACCTGGGAGGGGCTAGCTTCATGTGAGGTTTGTTAGGCTGGGTTGATCCATCGGGATGAGGCAGAAAGTGGTGAAGGGCTTCAGAGTCTCCCAAAGTCCCAGCTCAGTTCCCCTGAACTCCCAGTCCTTAGCTGTCCCACGACTGTTCTCTGTGAGGACCCTTCCTCCACCCTTCTCCTGCACCAAGGAGATCAGAAACCTTTTGGGCATCTCCACCTTGTCCACTCTTTCTGGCTGGGGCCTCAAGCCCTCACAATTGTTGGGCATCACTGTCAGTCTTTGAGTCTCTTTGTGTCTCTCTTTTGACATTGTTTCTCTGTGATATTTAACTCTTTCTATCGCCCTCGTAATTGTCTCTGTCCTCCAATTGCTCTCAGTCTCTGCGTATCAGCCACTGTGTTTCTCTTTTCACTGTCACTGTTGCATCTGTCTGTATCTCTCTTCCCTACCCTTTCCTTTCTTTCTTCCCCCTCTCTCCTTGTCCTCCTCTCTTTTTCCTCCTCCTTTCTTCCTCTTCCGCCTCTTCTTTTTTATTCTCCCCCTTCTCTTTTTCCTTCTCCTTCCTTCCTCCTGTTCCTCTTCTCCTCCTCCTCTTTGTTGTAGTGGTTGTTCTTCTTCATCTCCTTCTCATCTTTGTCTTCTTCCCCCCTCTCCTTCTCTTTCTTATTCTCCTGGTTTCTGCAGGGAAAAGGAGCTGTCAGATAGGACTTCTGGGGCTGTGACTGTTCAGGGATGAGTTTCAGCCTCACAATTCCACTCATTCCACTCATTCTTGGAACTTAGGATATAAGGAAATGGACCCAGACTCAAGCCCACTTCCTCCCTCTCCTCCTTCCCTCCTCCCTCCCTTTCTCTTTCTTCTCCTTCTCCTTCTCCCTCTATCTCCTCCCCTAGTGTCCACTTTTCCCCCTCTATGTATTTATTGTTTGTGGTTTCTCTGTGTGTCTATTTCTAAATGTCTGTGTCTTTCTTTTCTGGACCTTAGCTTTTGCATCTCTTTCTATACTGTCTTGGTCTCCATCTTTGTATGTCAATATTTTCCTTTTCCTTGGTCTCTCTGTTGCTATCCCCCATGGTTCTGTGGCTTCAGTCCTGAGTTGTGTTTTATGTCTCCCTGTAGCTCCATCTTAATCTCTAATTATGTATTTCTCTGTATCCATCTCTCTGTCCTTTTGCCAGTCCCTGAGTTTTCTAACAGGGTCCTCTTTCCTCAGATGACAAGTCCTATGAGATTCTGCAGAACTTCCTTGGAATCCAGACTCAATGACAATGTCAGCTGTGTGATGGTGAGGACAGGATTCCAGTCCAGTCAGTCCTAGCTGTCATCGAGACAGTCCCAACTCATGGTGACCCCATGTGTGTCTGAATAGACTGTGCCCATAGGGTTTTCAGTGGCTGATTTTTCAGAAGTAGATCACCAAGCCTTTCTTCCGAGGAGCCTCTGAGTGGATTTCAACGGCCAACCTTTCAGTTAGCAGCTGATCATGGTAACCCTTTGCACCACCCAGAAACTCCTAAAGTCAGGATTAAGGAACAGGAAATGGTTGAGGCTGGGGAGAGTGGAGGGCAGTCAGAGAGGGGAGGAACCTGAGGGGTGTGCCTCATGGGGGTGGGAACTAGCGGTCCGAGGGCAGGTCCCAGTATCCACAGACCCTTCGTTCCTCTCCCCTAGGGTTTCCAGGGGCCCCAGAAGTTCATCACAGCCTTTCCCCGAGACAGTGGGAGATTTCTGAATCCTGGTGCGGGAACAAGAGAAATACCCCTCATCATAAAGACCAACTGTGTGGAGTCTGGCCAGGTAAGAGTGGGCCTGCCCTGACCCCTGAACTTTGGCCCTATGGATGACCTGTGCACTGGCTCATGGTCTCACCCCTTCATGGGGCACTCCTACTTGGTGTCCTCGGGCTGCCATAACAAAATACCACAAACTGGGTGATTTTAAAGAATAGAAATTTATTCTCTCGTAGTTCTGGAGACTGAAAGTCCAAATTCAGGGTACAGGCAGGGCCATGCTCTCTCCAAAGGCTTAGGGGAAGATCCTTCCTTGTCTCTCCTGGTTTCTGGTAGTCCCAGGCCTTCCTTGGCTTGTAGATGCATCTTCACATGGTGTCCTTCCTCTGTCTGTCTCTCTGTGTCTCTTCTCTTTTATAGGGACACCAGTCATAGGATTAGGACCCATCGTAGTCCAGTTTGACTTCATATTAACTAAGAACATCTTCAAAGAATCTGTTTCCGAACAAGGTCACATTCACAGGCCTAGTGGTAGGACTTCAACACATCTCTTGTGGCTCCATCCCACACATTGTCCCAGGCTCTGTCCCAGCTGGGACTCCAGTGCTGACCTTGTGTCTGACCCCAAGGGGAGCCAGATGCTGACTGACCACAAACCCCCCAACCCTGACCCCTGCACCTCTGACTCAAGCCTCTGGAGACTACCCTCTCCCTGGATGTGGCTGGACAAGCAGAGGGACTACCCCACCCTTCACTGTTTCCCACTGCTAAGAGAAGGGACTCCCATGACCGCTCACCTGAGACCTCCAAGAGGCAAGGGAGGTTCTGGAATCTCATCTCCAGGTGCTAGGGAGCTAGACCGAGCTCAAGTGACTCAGTAGCCCTTCCCCCTGCCTCCCCCAAGACCTGCACATCTCCAAGTGGCTCAAACCCTTTTTCCTCACCTGCACTGTCTACTTCCTCCTCTGGATCCCTGAGGGCCTGCCGTCCTGGCTCAGTGCCCTGGTCAAGTGCCTGCCTGTGCTCGACCAGGTCTTGTTTCTCCAGGCTGTGCCACTGGGCAGGGACTACACCTCACTCCTCCAGGGGACCCTGCTGTACTCTGCTGTGGAGGACGCCTGCCTCATCTAGCCTGATATCTTTTTATATGGTGAGCTGAATGGCGGACCTCAATCTGGAGGCAGGGCAGAGGCTAAAAATATGGGGTCTGCAATCCTAGCTGTTGTGTCTCCCTGGAATCTTAGATGAGAGACAGCCCCCCCAGGCCTCAGTTTTCTTTGCCACAGCATGGAAATGATCATTCATGCAATATTCATGAGTATTCGTGAGGGCTTGCTATGTGTTGGACAACATTGTTAGGTATTAGAGCTACCTGGTGGATCAGACAGGACCCTGGGTGGCACAAAGGATTTGCACCCGACTACTAACCTAAAAGCTGGCTGTTCGAACCCACCCAGCAGTACCATGGAAGAAAGACCTGGCAATCTGCTTCCATAAAGATTACAACCGAGAGAACCCCATGGAGCAGTTCTACTCTGTAACACGTGGGGTTGCCATGAGTCAGAATTGTCTTCATGGCAACAAGTTTGGGTTTTTGGTATTTTGGTGACCCAGAGAGCTCAGCCCATCCATTTTGGGGCTCACAACCCAGTGAGGGAGATAGCACCATTTGGACTGTATGAAGAAGAACGCGGCATGAAGATTGGAGGAAGACTCATCAACAACCTGCTTTTATGCAGATGACACAGCCCTGCTTGCTGAAAATGAAGAGGACTTGAAGCACTTACTGACGAAGATCAAAGACCACAGCCTTCAGTATGGATTACACTTCAACATAAAGAAAGCAAAAATCCTCACAACTGGACCAATAAGTAACATCATGGTAAATGGAGAAAAGATTGAAATTGTCAAGGATTTCATTTTATTTGGATCCACAGTCAACACCCATGGAAGCAGCAGTCAAGAAATCAAAAGACACATTGCATTGAGCAAACCTGCTGCAGAAGACCTCTCTAAAGTGTTAAAAAGCAAAGATGTCATCTTGAAGACTAAGGTGCGCCTGACCCAAGCTATGGTATTTTCAATTGCCTCATATACATTTGAAAGCTGGACAATGAATAAGGGAGACTGAGGGAGAATTGATGCCTTTGAATTATGGTGTTGGTGAGAATATTGAACACACCATGGACTGCCAAATGAATGAACAAATCTGTCTTGGTAGAAGTACATCCAGAATGCTCCTTAAAAGCAAGAATGATGAGACTAAGTCTCACATACTTTGGACATGTTATCAGGAGGAATCAATCCCTGGAGAAGAACATCATGCTTGGTAAAGTAGAGGATCAGCGAAAAAGAGGAAGACCCTTGGCGAGATGGATTGACACAGTGGCTGCAACAATGGGCTTAAGCATAACAACGATCACTAGGATGGCACAAGACCAGGCACTGCTTTGTTTTGTTGTACATAGGGTCACTATGAGTCAGAACTGACTCAACAGCACCTAGCAACAACAATGATTTGTGACAATTTTTTCACACAACCCTAGGAGACTAAGACAGGTATAGAGAATGTGAATTATTGATGTTATTGCCATGGGCCAGTGGGTCTCAACCTTGCTGTGCACCCTCTGAAAAACTGGATAAATGCACCTCAGAATTATCCAGGAGGCTGGGACACTTACCCATTGTCTTAGTTATCTAGTGCTGCTATAACAGAAATACCACAAGTGGATGGCTTTAACGAAGAGAAATTTATTCTCTCACAGTCTAGGAGCCTAGAAGTCCGAATTCAGGGCACCAGCTCCCAGGGAATGCTTTCTCTCTCTGCCGGTTCTTGGGGAAGGTCCTTGTCACCAATCTTCCCCTGGTCTAGGAGCTTCTCAGCTCAGGGACCCCAGGTCCAAAGGATGTGCTCTGCTCCTGGCACTTCTTTCTTGATGGCATGAGGTCCCTCTCCTCTCTCCTCCCCTCCCTCTCCTTTTATCTCTTGTAAGATAAAAGGTGATGCAGGCCACACCCCAGGGAAACTTCCCTTACATTGGATCAGGGCTGTGACCTGAGTAAGGGTGTTGAATCCCACCCTAATTCTCTTTAACATAACCTAATCTTGTCTTATTAACCACAGGCAGAGATTAGGATTTACAACACATAAGATAATCACATCACATCACAAAATGGTGGACAACCACACAACACTGGGAATCGTGGACTAGCCAAGTTGATACACATTTTTGGGGGACACAATTTAATTCATAACACCCACCAACTACTATCATTTAGTGTCTGTTGGATGTCCCAGTTTTTTAATTTAAAAAAATCGAGGCAAAATTCTCAAAACATAAAATTAACCATCTTAAAGTGAACAATTCAGTGCCACTGGGTGGGATCAAACCACCAACCTTTAGGTTAATAGTCAAGCACAAACTGTCTGTATCACCCATGGCCACAGACAGCTGTAAAAAGAGTTTGGATATCTACCCAAGAGGATTGAAAGTTTACATCCACATAAAAACTCATACACCAATGTTCATGGCAACATTATTCTTAATAGCGGAAAGGTGAAGACAACCCCAGTGATCCCCTTATATGAAATATCTAGAATAGGCAAGACAACCCCAGTGATCCCCTTATATGAAATATCTAGAATAGGCAAATGCATAGAGACCAAAGTTTATTAGCAGTTGTGCTTTTATTTTAATTCATCTCCAAGTATTTTTTAATTTCCCTTGTGATTTCTTCTTTGACCATTGGCTATTTACTAGTGTGTTTTTTAATTTCCACATATTTATGAATTTTTTCCTTCTGTTATTTATTTCCAGTTTCATTCCATTGTGGTTGGAGAAGATACTTTGTAGGATTTCAATACTTTAAAATTTATTGAGACTGGTTTTGTGACCTAACGTATGGTCTGTTCAGGAGAATGATCCATAGGCACTGGAGAAGAATGTGTATTGTGCTATTGCTGTTGTTGTGTGTCATCGAGTCGATTCCAATTCATAACGACCGTACGGAATAGAACTGCCCCATAGGGTTTCCAAGGCTGTAATCTTTACAGAAGCAGATTGCCACATCTTTCTCCCATGGAGCAGCTGGTGAGTTGGAATAGCCAACCTTTTGGTTTAGTAGCCAAGTGCTTAACCACTGCACCACCAGGGCTCCTTGTTGTTGGGTGGAGTGTCCTATAAATATCTGTTAGGTCTAGTTGGTTTATAGTGTTGTTCAAGTCCTTTGTTTCCTTATGGGTATTCTGTCTAGATGTTCTGTCAGTTATTGACAGTGGTATATTGAGTCGCCAACTATTATTTTAGAACTTTCTATTTCTCTCTTCAATTTTGTCAAAGTTTGCTTCATATATTCTGGGGCAGCAAATTTAGTTTTTTTCTGCTCTCTTTTTCTTACTGTTTTAAAAAAAATGGTGAAGATGTTTAACATTATCATTTAGTGTTTAAGTTTGAACCCACCCAGTGGCTCCGAGGGAGAAAGACCTGGTGATCTGCTGCCATAAAGATCACAGCCTAAGAAACCCTATGGGGCAGTTCCATTCTGTCATATGGGGTCACTATGAGTCAAATCAACTCGACAGCACCTAACAACACCATCATTTAGTATTTAGGTATATCAAGATGGGATTGTGACAGAACGAGAGAGGTTCTAATTGGGGTTGTAGAGGTAATCCTGTTGTTGGCTAGAGTAAGGGAGGACTCTTAAGTCAGTGGGGGAAAACTTCATGGCAAAGGACAGAAAGTGGGGTAGAGCTTGGAGATGGTTCTTGCCTGAAAGCAGGGGTGGATTACCTAGTAAGCAATGTAAGCCCGGACTTGCTTGTGCTTACTTACTAATCTGTAGTGAACAGTTTCACATATTTTTCACCACATCATGGTGAAGCCCATGTGAAATTGTTCACTACAGATTAGTAAGTAAGCACAAATAAACCCATGCTTACCTTGCTTACTGGGTAATCCATCCCTATCAGGGACTGTAAATCTAAAAATCTAAAAAGATTTTGAAGGTACTGTGGGATTGGGAGAGAGGCAGATGCCAGCCATACCTACAAGCAGAGCCTTCACTAAAAAGTAGGCACAAGTAAGCTCGTGCTTACCTTGCTTATTGGGTAATCCACCTTTGCCTGCAAGACTCCACTTCCTCCTCCTCCCTTCTGGCCACAGCAAAAGAAAAAAGAATTCTTGAGTTTAAAGTCCTTTAGGAGAAAGGTTTGGGGCCAGGATCCTGGACTCCAGAAATGTTCTGATGAGACATGAGAGGAGTAAAAGGCTTCGGTGACGGCTTCAGGGCCTGGAGACCACTGCTCCTGCTGGTGAGTGCCTCTTCCCAGAATCTGAGGGAGGAGGGGCTTGGGGGCCTGGACTCCTGTGTCTGAGGGAGGAAGGAATAGATTCCTGGACTCCTGGGTCTGAGGCAGAAGGGGTTGGGGATGGTCTGTGACTCCTGGGGAGGAAGGAGGGGCCAATGATTCCTTGGAGCAGGAAGAAGGGTCTAGGGTTGAAGAAACAGTGGAAGAGATTTACACCTGGGCTCTTAGATATCACAACATCTGGTGCGAGAGTAAACTCTGGCTTCAGGCAAGATACTAGTATGCTTCAAAGACCCAGGATTCTGAATCCCAGACCCCTTTTCCTCCACTTGCAGGGGTCACTTCTCCCCAAGGACCCAAGGATCCAGGACCTCAGCCACTCCTTCATCAGATCAGGAGTCCCAACCCCCATGCTCCTCCTGCCTCAGACCCAGGAGTCTGGGTTCCCAGTCCCTCCTCCCTCAGGCCCAGGAGTCCCTGCCCCCATCATCCTCCTCCCTCAGACCAGGGAGTCCTGGCTCCCAGTACTCCCTCCCTTAGATCAGAAGTCCAGGCCCCCAGCCCCCTCCTCCCTCAGACTCAGCAGTCCAGGTCTGCAGCCCCATTTTACCTCAAACAGGCTTCCAGATCCTCCTCCCTCAGACCCAGGAATCTAGCCTCTGGCCCCTAATCCCAGTCTCTTTCCTGCCTTCTCAGTTTGTTGATTGCTTCCCTGCCCCCAGTCTTCCAAGGCTACTTCAGGAAGTGGAACCAATAAGTTTATCTCTGTGTCTTATTGGTCAGGCTAACCCCAGCTCTTGGGTCCCTGGAGTCCCCCCCCCCCCCGCCGCCATGCTCCCAATTTAGAAAAGACTGACGTTGGGGTGACCTTTGTCAGAACCCAGCCCTAGGGGAGGAGACAGCATACCTGGGTCCCTCCTCCCCCTCAAGTAGGGGTGACTCATGGGGGCAGGGCCTGGGAGAATTCCTGATCGGCCCCGCCCACCTTAGCAATCTCACCTGGGTAAAGGAAGGTGAAGTTCAGGGTCTGATTCCTCCCTCTCTGGGCTCTCCCCAGGGTGTGTGGATCATCTGGACAGGGATTAGGGCGGCCGGTGAATGATGTCTGCTGGTGTTCACTGCCCACACACAGAGGCTGAACCTCAATTCCCATGAGCCTCTTGGGACCATGGAGGTCCGTTGCAGGGGCTGATGGGAGTTGTCATTTCTGGACTTGTGTCAAGACCTGGGGATGGTTAAAGGGATGGTACCTGGTCTTTCCCCTGCTCACAGCGCATCATTCTTCCTAAATTCTCGGACTCCAGCCCAGTAGGAACCTGAGTTTGGAGGTTCTGGCCAACAGCTACATCATCCTGAGCTGGGCTGCCCCTGAGGGCTCAGACTCAGAGCTACACCTACTGGGTGGAGTGCATTGGAGGGGCTGCATGGATTTGAACCAGGGCCCTTGCATGAATTATCTGTGTGGGCAGAAGAGGAGAGCATTCTAGAAGCTTCCTGCAACTGAACATAGGCTGCAGGAGCCCAGGCATCTGTCTCTGTGTCCCCTTGTAGGAAGTATTTCTTAACAATCAGGTTGTACAGGGAAAGGGCAAGCCACTTTGTTCTGGTCACTTGGGGGCTGGGGGACATGAAACCCTGAGTCTCTGCTCCTTCTTCCAGAACCTAACCCAGTGACAAGTCTCAGGGTGCAGAACCGAAACACTAGCTCCATCACCTTGAGATAGACAGCTCCCTGGGGCCCAAACCAACCACCCTACACCTACTGGGTCCAGTGATTGTTGGAGGAAAGTGTACAAGGGACCCACACCTCAGATACCATTATTATGGTGAAGGAGCTGGAAGCTGGGACTTTGTACACCTTCACTGTCTGGGTCTAGAGGAACAGTGTCAACATCACATACAAGGCAATTGATGCATCTACAGGTGAGATATCCTTAAGTCTTTTACAAAGCACTTTTGGAGTGGGTAAAAGGAGGTCATTGGAGCCTTGAGACTGTTCCTGGGAAGTAGACAAAGCCCAGCTATCCCAGGATCCCTGAACTTCAGAGTTTTAGGTCCCATTGCTAGGAGTGTTTCTCTTTAGATATCAGGACTGTATAGGGGAAAGGGCATCTCCCCTTTATGCTAGACACTCAGGGACTGGGGGACATGGAAACCCTGACTTTCTGCTCCTGTTGCCAGAACCTAACCCAGTGATAAGTCTCAAAATGCAGGATTGAACCAACAGCTCCATCACCTTGAGCTAGACAGCTCCCCTGTAGATGCATCACCTGTAGATGCATCAGTCAGTCGTTTCGATGTTACTATTTATGCCATTCCACTCAACCCATACAGTGAAGGTATACAAAGTCCTGGCTTGTAGTTCTTTCACCATGATCCTGGTGTCTGAGGTGCTTTGGATCCCTTACATGTCCTCCTTTAACCATTGGACCCAGCAGGTGTAGGGTAGTCTGGGCCCTGGGGATCTGTCCAGCTAAAAGTGATGGAGCTCCCTGGTGTCCAGACCAACCATCCAACACCTACTGGGTCCAGTGGTCAAGGGAGGACATCATAAAAGGGATGAAAAACACCTCAGATACCATGATCATGATAAAGGAACTGGAAGCTGGGACTTTGTACATCTTCACTGGGTGGATCAAGAAGAATGACATCAACAGTAAAAACAAGATGATTGATGCATCTACAGGTAAGACATCCTTAAGTCTTTTACAGAGCGCTTCTGGGATGAGCAAAAGGAAGTCATTGGAGGCTTGGGATTATCCCTGGAAAATAGACAATGCCCAGGCATCCCAGGACCACTGAACCTCAGAGTTTTAGGTCCCATTGCTAGGAGTGTTTCTTTTTAGATATTAGAACTATATAGGGGGAAGGATGTCTTCCCTTTGTGCTAGATGCTTGGGAAATGGGTGACATGGAAACCCTGACTTTCTGCTCCTTCTGCTAGTCCCTAACACAGCAACGAGTCTCAGGGTGCAGGATCAGAACAACATCTCCATCACCTTGAACTGGGCAGCTCCCCTGCCCCCCAACCACCCTACACTAACTGGGTTCAGTGGTTCAGGATGGGCAGCTTACAAGGGACCCAAAGCACCTCAGATATCAGAATCACAGTGAAGGAACTGGAAGCTGGAACTTTGTACACCTTTACTGTCTGGGTTGAAAGAAATGGCATCAGCAGTAATATCGAGACAATTCATGCCTCTACAGGTGAAACAGCCTTAAGTCATTTTCCAAGCACTTCTGGGGTGGGTGAAAGGAAGTCACTGGAGCCTTGGGATTGTCCCTGGGAAGTAGACAATGCCCAGGAATCCCAGGACTCCTGAACCTCAGAATTTTAGGTTCCATTTCTGGGAGTATTTCTCTTTAGATATCAGGACTGTATAGGGGAAAGGCACTTAGTCCATTAGGCTAGCAGAGGACAGCCCCAGAGAAAGCAATATTTCTAAGGAAATCAAGCCAGTCAGACAGGCAAGACCAATGAGACTTGGTATATGGTGGATGCCTTTGAATCCGGAACTCTACAGTTTCAGCGTGTGGACAGAGAGAAACAATGTTCCTGTACAGAGCCTCCTTGCATCCACAGGTGAAATGAGCCTCACTTGTACTTGGTGGATTGGGCATAGGTCAGACCTTGAGGGCAATGAGAGGTGAATGGACTACAAATCCCATTAGGCCAAAGAATAATGACCTTATGTAATGACACGGAGAGTTCAAGATCTCATGGGAGTTGTAGTTTGAATGGAGCTATTTGTGGACCACTTGAGGGAATAGAAAATGAGGAAAGATGAGGGATTTTTGGTGTTTTGCAAAGGACAGGATGGGCTAGTTCTAGAAAATTAGCATAAATGGTGAGCAGGAGACCACTTGGATGGCTCCTCACTGGATTCTTTTATTCCCTTCACCCAACTCCTGACCCTGTCACCATCACCTCCTCTGTCAACACCTTGGTGGGCCGTGTGGTCATCCTGACCTGGTCCTACCCCCAGGGAGGCTACAGGGCCTTTGGGTTAGAGGTTGGTGGGAAGTAGGACTTCCAGTTCAGTTTCTCATGCAGGAAGGGTGTGTCCTTGTTTGGTCTCCAGTGAGCTCGGTCCTACCCAGTCACCGTCACAACTGTGTGGAATGGACTGAGGGTCCCCTCTGCCTCCGTCACCTACTACACTGAGGGTGCAGGTGAGCAAGCCCCACAGGCCAGGAACCTGGAGTGAACAGCTAGCTGAGCCCTATTGTCAAAGCCACCGTCATTAGAAATGAGGAAGATACATATTGTGGATATCATTGCATACTCTTAGGACCCATTGCCAGAAGACACTTCATAAGAGAAACAAACTGATAAGAAGGCAGGGTCTCAGAACTGCGGATGATGCATGGAGGGGTCCTGATCATGGACTTCCCTGGGGCTCACTGGCCTTGTTGCCAGGGAGAATGTCCTCTTAGCAACCAGGTGATGGGACCCCAGATTCTGGGAGAACTAAGACTTACATGGTTAGGGGCTCTGTAGGCTTAGTTATTTCTCATTCCATTCCATTCTCTCTCCTTAGCTACTGAGGCCCTTAAGGAAAAGGAATGTCAGATATGGAAAGGGACAGGAGGAGCCCTTGTGCACTGGTTGGAACATAAGGATACCAGCCTGTTGCTAGGGAGGGTCTTGCCTTAGAACCCAGGTATTAAAAGAATAAGAACTTCAATTCAGGGAGTCTTGAGGGTGTCTATCATAATCCATAGTCTCCAGCCTCACTATGGTCCATTCCTGCAGAGAATCAATCACTTCCTGTCAGAGTCCCTTAAAAACAGGTCTGTGGCCCCAAACTAAGGAGAAAAAAGAGAAACACCCCAACTAAAAAAAAATAGCTACTATTTACATATAATATTATTTATAATCCTTAAAAATGCACTTCCAAAACCAAAAAGCCAAACCCATTGCCATCAAATCGATTCCAACTCATAGCGACCCTATAGGACAAAGTGGAACTGCCCCATAGGTTTCCAAGAAGAAGCTAGGGTGGATTTGAACTGCAGACCTTTTGGTTAGCAGCTGAGCTCCTAACCACTGCACCACCAGGGCTCCACTATTAACATATAACATTATTTCTAATTCTTAAAAAAAATGCCCTTCAAGGGTGGTATTATTTCCATTATACAGAGGAGCAATCTCAGACGGTTCAAGTGACTTGCCCAAAGTTACATAGCCAGTAAGGGACGTGTGTTCTGGAAGCATGACCATGAAATTACATATTATTGTCATTAAAAATTATTTTCCCTAATGAGCTCCATGTTTCCCATGTATCTTATTCTCCACTGTATCCTGGAGCCTAGCTCTGGCATCCGATCGGCTTCAATAACTAACTGTTGTCCTCTCTTTCCTGCCACCATATGGTGCACATGAACATCCTGGCCAATGCTCTTAAGAGCATCACTAATGCTGAGAAGAGAGGCAAACACCAGCTTCTTATTAGATCTAGAAAAGTGGCAGAATAATCTGCTCCCATCACGTCAGTTGGGTTTCATTGTACTGATGACCTCGGGTGGCATCATGGACCATGAGGAAACAAGACGAAAACACACAGGAGGGAAAGTCCTGAAGTCTTTTTTTAGGGACGTAATACATACATACAAAAAAAATGCCACAATGGGAAAAAAAGAATAACTGAATGTTGAGTGGGTGGGTGGAAAGAAGGCAGAAGCGAAGAAGGAAGAGGTATATGTGCAATGTGGGCTACCTCTCAAGCCAGCACTCTTTCCATTCCACCACTCCATTTGTTTGGAAATTGTACTCTGATAGTCATCTTCATTCTCCTACAACTCTTATCATACTTACACAAGTTGCTCTGATTAATGTGTGTCAGTACATCTACCTTCCTGGATCCTATTCTACTTTGATTTGTTTACCCACTCATTCACTCACCAAAGTTTAACTGAGAACCAGCCATGTGCCAGGTGATTTCTAACCCTTTCATGACCCATGGTACATATGGGATGCCATCCACTTTTTCCAACTCTCAGGTTCTTTGGGAGGATATTTTCACCACTGAAAGTATTTGCTGCCCTCCAGTGGGAACTTGTGTAACAGTGAAAGGCAAAAGAAACCTTAGTTGAAGCAAAATAGCTGGGGTATGAGGCTTACAAGTGAGGTAGTGCAACCAGGAACTGTGATTGGGTAAAAAAAAAAAAACTTGTCTCTTCAAGGGCAAGGACTAGAAGGCAGGGGGGACAGGAAAGCTGGTAACAGGGAACCCAAAATCAAGAAGTGAGAGTGTTGACATGTCCTGGGGTCGTTAACCAATGTCATAAAACAATATGTGTACTAACTGTTTAATAAGAAACTAGTTTGTTCTGTAAACCTTCATCTAAAGTACAATAAAAAATAGTAAGTATTTTTTAAAGAAAAAAAAACAGGTCTCTGGAATATTATTTGGTCATAAAAAGGAATGAAGTCCTCATACATGCTAAAACATGGATGAACCTTGAAAGCATTATGCTAAGTGAAAAAAGTCAGACATAAGAATCTACATATTGTATGATTCCATTTATATGAAATGTCCAGAATAGGTAAGACAAAGAGACAAAAACGTAGATTAGTGGTTGCTTGTGGGTTGGGAGGTGATGGTGGGATTGAAGGAAGTGCGATAACTAGAGAGTATTACAGTTTCTTGTTGGGGTGATGAAAATGTTTTCAAATTGACTGTGGTGGTGGTTGCACAACTGTGAATATACTAAAAACCACAGAATTGTACACTTCAAATGGGTTAATTGGATGGTATGTGAATTATATATCAATAAAGATGTTACAAAAAAAATAGGTCTCAAAATCCAAGGGAGACTAGAATTTGACAGTAAATAGGTAATACTCCCCCCTAAAATGACCCACCAGCACCTGTTGCCTGGAAGCGCCCTTCCTTTAGCAGGCAGTGTGATGGGGAAAGAAACACAAAGGATGGAAAATAGGACCTGGACCCTATATAATCTCAAACCTTTTCCACCCACAGAGATCATTGCTGGATCTGTAGTTGGTGTCCTCCTGGTCATCATCCTGGTGAGCCTGCTGGATATCTTCCTGTGGAAGAGGTCAGACTTATGGTGGTAGCTATGGGCTTTGTTTGGATTAGGGGCGGCATTGGTGGAACATAAGGTGGTATAAAATGCAAGTAGTGGGAAGGAATTGGGATCCTCGATGACCTCTATCACCCCAAGTCTTACAGCTCTGAATCTCTTTGCTCAGGAAGAAGAAACAAGGGGTTCACAAGTTGGAAGATATTTTCCTCAGGTGAGTGGAGCATTTTAAGTGATGCTGCTGGAAGCCCTGATGGCTCTGTGGTTAGGCATTTGGCTAACCAAAAGGTCGGCAGTTTGAATCCACCAGCCACTCCTTGAAAACCCTATGGGGAAGTTCTACTCTGTCCTGTAGGGTCACCATGAGTCAGAATTGACTCGACGGCAACAGGTTTGGGTTTTGGCTGGAAGCCGTTTCTTTGCAGCTCATCAGATGTTTGTTGACTGACTTTTAGTGCTGTTGTAAGTGTTGGGAGTGAGTTTCCCCACTTAAGAGTTTTGGTAGAGACCATAACACTCTCATCTACGACAGGACACAGCCCTTCTCCTTCCAACCATCACATTCTGCTCCCAGGGCCCTGCTCTCTGCACATATGAAGACCCCATCTTTTATTTAACCCAACATGCCCCTCCCAGCCTCACTTCCAGCCACTTGACAATCTCTACCCTGGAAGATTCTATAAGAGCCATTTGTGCTGTGTGTGAACTTGCTTAAGTTCTGTGAAGATGTTGAGCTAGTCGGGGTAAATGGAGAGGTGGAGAGACTTTGGATTCTGGGCTTCCCTCCTCCAGTGAAGATGTAGTGAGATGCATCCTTCAACATCCCAATAGGACCTAAACAAAGTCACCAGTTTTGTTACTTAAGGCAGGCTCATGCTGGCTGGTGGGGCAGACAGGTTCTGCTGGGGGAAAGGAAAAGGAATTCCCATTTCCTTTCTCCAGCCCGGTAAAATCTGTCTGTCGGCTCCAGGTCTGCAAAAGGCATCCTTGCTGAGCATTTTGCTGACCACATCAGGAGAAAGGCAAAGAATGGCAACTGTGGCTTTGCCAAGGACTTCCAGGTGTGGAGGAGTCTTTGAGGACTGAATTGGGATGCACGATGACCAAATCTTACAGGTATTTGGATATTCAACAAATGATAGTGATTTGATAATCTT